ATGATTGTATGATTTCTGATTTTGAAAGCAGTTAGAAATTACATAAATATCCATTAATAATATAGTAAATAGTATATGTTATACCTATCATATGGAATTTTGTTTCACAGTTAAAAAAGATCTATATATAGAGAAAGAGTGATCTTAATTTATATCTTGTTAATTGAAAAAAAGGAAATTGTGGAACAATATACTGAGAAAAAAGTCCCCACGACTAGAAATGTTTCAGGTATGTAAATGCCATAGTGGTAAGTGATTAGCTTTGCCACTGTAAGGGAATAGTGGGAGAAATGGAGCCGGCATTGAAGAGGAAAGTAATCTTAGGAAAGACTCATTTATTTGTATTTAATTTTTAATGACCAGAATGTGTTAATTTATTCTTCTTAAGCATAATTTTTGTTCTTTTGTTTTCTTTTTAAAAATAATATATGTGTGTGTGTATATATATATATATATATATATATATATATATATATAAAACATCATTGTTCATTTCTTTTCAATGTTTGCTTTGTTTTTTCAGGTGTAGTCCCCATAGAATTTCCACCACCAGTTTACCTGTGCACCATCACCATAGTCCCTTGTGCTCTTCCCACCCTTGTTTTGATCCCACTCCTTCTCTTTCCCCTGCATAACGTCTCTGGTTTATAGCTGTCTGTGTATTTCGTTGGTTTGTGTTTTTATTGTTGTTATTCCCTGATCCCTTATTTGGTTCCCCTATTTCCTCCTATAAATGAAACCATCTGATATTATTTTTCCTTTTCACTTATTTCATTGAGCATAATCCCTTCTAGCTCCATCCATCTTGCTGTGAATGGCATTAGTTTATCTTTTTGACTGCTGAATAATATTCCATTATGTATATATACCACATCTTCTTGATCCAGTCATTTATTTTTTGGGCATTTGGTTTGTTTTCAAGTCTTACCTATTATAATTAGTGCTGCAGTAAACATAGGGGTGCAGGTTATCATTTTGAATTAATGTTTTTGTGTCCTTTGGGTAGATCCCTATGAGTGGAATTGCCGGGTCATCTGGTAGCTCCATTTTTAGTAGTCTGTGGAAACTCCATACACTTAAGCATAAACTTTTATCACAAACTTGTTTAAACACAAAGCTGAAAAATTCAATGTATAAATTGATGATTACTATTTTGATTTTCAAAATGTTTCTTGAAAAGATAGGGGATACATTTAGCTCCTAAAGTAGTAAGTATCAATGTTTAAAGCATCATGAAAGAAAATGAGTAAGGATTCAATGAATAAATCCATAAAAACACTGAATACGGTATTTTCTTTATTGAGCAAGAAATTCATAGTGTTGAAACAAGAGTGAACTTTCAAGTGATATAAATTGTTCCTTGGGTTTTTGGAAAAGCTTCAAATTCATTTTATAGAAATAATGTGGTTCTCACATTAGTGTCTAAGTTTCTTAATGCAAAAATTAAAATTAGAGGTGAAACACAAAGTCTAGAAAAATAAGCCCAAACATGTTTTATTTGATTCATTCAGGCGAGGTGAAAATAGTACTAGAAATAATTTAATTAACCTCAGTGTATTCATAAAAGTCACTTTGTAAAGTTCTGCATCAATTCCAAATTTTAAGTTAGAAATGATTGGCATTTTTTAACATGAAGGAAAGCATATTTTATAAACAAGAAATTTTTCATTTGTTAGAACACTGGTGGAATTACTACTTAGAACCATTAAGTGGGTGCTAGATATGACTCAATACTGTACAGTGTTAACCAAGGGAAGTTTTTTGATGAAAATCAATATTTGTAATTCAGAAGGGTTAAAGAAGTAGAGAAATACATATTAAAATTAGGAAGAAACAAACATGAATGTATGATTTTTAAAAGGAATGTATACATTTCAATCATATGGGAAACAGGAAATAATAAAAAATAGATTTAGCATTGTACTATATTACTCATAACCATTAACAAAAAGGTAAACTCAAGGGTGGTAACAAACTGTAACATGAGCAGGTTCTATGACATGGGAGAAATAGTATATATGTGGTATATTTGATTTTTTTCTCCCGATCCCCGAATATGTTATATTTAAAGTGAGATACATATAATATATAAATATATACATATAAAATTGATGTCTCATACAAAAAATCAAAAAAAAATCACAATGTTAAAAAATACTGGAAGAATAAACTGGCAGTTCACCACTTCCAATGCTCTTGTGACAAATTAATAACCTCACTAGTAATCAAGTAAACTAAAAGAAATTAACATTTTTTTTGCCCTTATTGTTTATAATAATATAATGTGGGTAGTAATCTACTGCTTGGTAATTATGACAGATTTCTCAGGAAAATGTAAATTTTTATTACTTTTTAATGTTTTTGGCATTATGGATCAGTGGCCTTACAATGATTTATAACCTTTGACCTGATAATTTCCACATCTAGTAATTTTTTTAAGTAAATGTAAAGATATATTCACAAAGATTTTTTGCATGTTACATTTTAAAATTCAATAGAATTGTAGTCTTTAATGAATTATGTCCATTATGCCAGAATACTAGGCTTTTACTTAAAATCATCTTTTTAAATAAAATATTTTAATTTTTTAAAATATATTTAACGATTTTTGAGCTAGAGCGACTCTTCAGATAGTCTCTTGACATTCTCTTCTGGAAATACTCTATTTTCTTGGCTTGTGTCACATCATATTTTTGATTGTCTTTATACCTCTCTTTTTGTGTCTAAGTTATCTTTGCTATCTCCTATGTACCTGACTACCTTCTACTGCTGTTCCATGGGAGATGGCATCCATCTCCCTCTTCCTTTACCACCAGACAGACTTTTATAGGCAATAACTTGTACTTCTTTGACTTCAATTAGCAAATTTGTTCTAATCTGGAAGCTTATTGGATATCCGTAAGAGCTAGATAAGCATCACCACTAATATATGTCTCTTGACATCTCAAAGCTCAGTGATACAATCTTGTCATTTGTCCTATCTACAATAACAAACCAGTTGTGTTGTATTTCTTATGCTAGTAGAATTTCCCACCATCTGCTCAGTCTCCCCAATAGGAAATTTGAGATCAACTTTAAATTATCCAAGTATCAAATTTTATTTTGTTTCTCTAATAATACTTGAATCTGTATCTATCCACGTCTCAGCTGTCATACCATTACTTCAGGACTTTATATATTTTATAATCCAAATAATGTCATAGCTCTATATGTAGGAATGTTTTTTCTCCAATATGTTTTGCACATACCCGCTAGTATGGCCACTCTAAAATTTGAATAGTGATGGCTATGATTGTGAATATTTTTTTAGGAGCCTACTGGCCATCTTCTTTGGAGAAGGATCTATTCAGCTCCTCCCCCCATTTTTTTATTAGGTTGTTTGTTTTCCTTTGTTGAACTTGGTGAGTTTACTATCTTTCTTGGATATCAGTCTCTTGTCTGATGTATGATGTGCAAAACTTTCTCCCATTCAGTAGGGTGTTTCCTTGTTTGTTTTTTTTTTCTTTTATATATATTTTAAATCATTCTTCCTTTTTTTACAATGTATATGCTTTCTCCTCTCAAGTGTAGTCCCTTTAAAATTCCCACCACCAATTTACCTGTGCACCATCACCCTAGTCCCTTATGCTCTTCCTTCCCTTGTTTTGAGCCCTCTCCCTACCCCTGCCCTGTAGAATGTCTCTGATTTTTAGTTGCCTGTTAATTTTGTTTGATTTACTTTTCTAATCCACTCTCTATTCTTTTCTCCTCTTGCTTTGTGATTGCAGCAGAATGACTTTTGTTTGCTTTATCAACATATGCTGTGTATTCAAGTTGAGTTTAGCTAATGTGAACTATAAGCAGGAGGAAAGGAATCAGGAGGAAAGTAGTCATGGTATTTATTTCCATGATTCCTTCCTCCCAGGGTGTAAGTTGTCAGTGGCTACCATTTGTTTATAAAGATATAATCTTTTATAAAGATTTTATTTATGCAGACCAAAACTGGGGTACAGGCCAGAGGTGTGGGGGTGGAGAGGATTAACTAGAGATAGAATAGGGAGCAGAACAGGTGGATTGAGTGAAATACACAGCTGAGGGGAGCAGCGGGCAAATCAGGAGAGGTCTGCTGCACCATGTGGGTAGCTCCCTGGCTGGGGATCGAACTTATGCTGCAGTGGCTGCAGATAGCTTCATAGGTTGTGTCTTAACCCCCTGCACCACCAGGGAGGCCCAAGATCACAGTTCTTTTTGGGCGGCCATCTACAACAATTACAGGACATTTCTGGGTTGTAAGAACCTATGCCTCCCTATGTGCCTTTAAGCCTAGTGGCAATAACACTGGCTGGTCAGACTTGGTAACCTCAGGGTACTTCATTCTTTACAAACATTAGTAAGTAGTCTCTTCATTGAATGCTATTCCATCACACTTTTAAAGCGTGCCATCAATTTTTGTCCAGGACCGTGATACACTGATAATGGGGAATAGGAGAAACTTCAAGGTTGACTGGAGGTGGGATAATCTTCTGGGGAGAAATACTGGAAATTTTTCAAAGATTTCTATGGAATTTTATGAAAATAGCATGACTTCTTTTGGTGAGTGAGTCTAGTAAATTTTTAAATCATTTTGATTGCTGTTTCTTTATGTGCACATGCAAGATGGGACAAGACTATGAGATATCTGGGATTTATAAGACTAGATAAAAGACTACTAGGATTTATCTGGACTGATTATATCATTTTAAGATGTCACTCTCAGAATCAGGAAGATCCCAACCCAGTGTACCTATGAAGTTTATTAAAATCAAGTAACTCGTTATAGTGGGAAGCTAATTTTTATTGTCAGGCAGGATAATATTGAGTTTCTAATATTTTCTATTCTGGAACAGAAAAATTGAGAAAAGTCCATAACTCCTCCAGGAACCAGTGATTCAGTTCACATTTTTAACATTCACTGTTGTTATTGAGGAAAACTTGGGGGACAATACAATAATTCCTTCAGCAACTGATGATTCAGTTCATATTATTGCATAAAATTTTGGTATACATTCAGATTATTATATTTAAGTATTACTCCAATCGTGGACGTGAGACAGGTGAGTGTTGTCAGGTGAGCATCATTTGTCCATCACTAAAACAGCTTTTATAGCTGAGAATTAGTATCTCAATTAGAATTTTCCCTCTCAGCAGGATCTACTACTTCCCTGCGACAAATAGGACAGGTAGTGTTCTCCGACAGCCAGCGATCGATGCAGTGTACGTGATATTCATGGGCACAAGGTAGCGTGCGGATCTTGTTGCCTTCTGTGAACTCTGTGAGGCATATGCTACAGGATTTCAATGCATCATTTTCACCGAATGATCTTATAGCCAAGTTGTCAATTTGGGCTTTGGTGAGACCTGTAGATTGATGCTGATCTTCTTCTAAGAGGAAAAACTGATCCAGATTAAGGGAGGTCCAAGAGTCACTATCATCAAACGTTACCGGGGATATAAGTCTACTCCCTGTTGTGTTCTCTGATAATCCTGATATGCTCCTTTCATCATTGCCTTCAAACAGCTGTGAACTGATGACTGAAATGTTATCACTGGAGCTGGAACTGGAAATAGGAGTAGAACTGGAACTAGGAGCATAGTTGGAGCTCGATCTAGAAAGTGATGGCGAAGCTGGATGGAAATAAAATCTAGGAATTGCATTGATATCAGAACTACTACTATTACCAGAACCATCTCTTCCATTTGGTGATGATGTCCTTTCGATGTCTGGACTTGGTGCTGAGACATTAGGCTCCAAATTACCGTCACTGTCTGTATGGTTACTTGAGTGAATAAAACCTGTCGTCTGCTCTGATGTGTTCTGAATTGCAGAAGATGTGTCACTGCAACAAGAACTTAAAAGTCTGTGAAGGGAAAGTCTGTTGGTACTGCCCATAAGGTTACTTGAGTCACTGAAACCGGTCATTGTCTGCTCCGATGTGTTCTGAATTACAGAAGATGTTGTGTCACTGTAACAAGAACATAAAAGTCTGTGAAGGGAAAGTCTGTTGGTAGTGCCCATACGGTTACTTGAGTCACTGAAACCGGTCATTGTCTGCTCTGATGTGTTCTGAATTGCAGAAGATGTTGTGTCACTACAACAAGAACATAAAAATCTATGAAGGGAAAGTCTGTTGGTAGTGCCCATACGGTTACTTGAGTCACAAATACCTGTCATTGTCTGCTCTGATGTGTTCTGAATTGCAGAAGATGTTGCGTCACTGCAACAATGACATAAAAATCTATGAAGGGAAAGTCTGTTGGTAGTGCCCTTACGGTTACTTGAGTGACTAAAACCTGTCATTGTCTGCTCTGATGTGTTATGAATTGCATGAGATGTTGCGTCACTGCAACAATGACATAAAAATCGATGAAGGGAAAGTCTGCTGGTAGTGCCCATACGGTTACTTGAGTCACTAAAATCTGTCATTGTCTGCTCTGATGTGTTCTGAATTGCAGAAGATGTTGCGTCACTGCAACAAGAACATAAATGCCTATGAAGGGAAAGACTGTTGTTACTGCCCATACAGTTACTTGAGTGACTAAAACCTGTCATTGTCTGCTCTGATGTGTTATGAATTGCATGAGATGTTGCGTCACTGCAACAATGACATAAAAATCGATGAAGGGAAAGTCTGCTGGTAGTGCCCATACGGTTACTTGAGTCACTAAAACCTGTCATTGTCTGCTCTGATGTGTTCTGAATTGCAGAAGATGTTGTGTCACTGCAACAAGAACATACATGTCTATGAAGGGAAAGTCTGCTGGTAGTGCCCATACAGTTACTTGAGTCACAAAAACTGTTCATTGTCTGCTCCGATGTGTTCTGAATTGCAGAAGATGTTGTGTCACTGCAACAAGAACATAAAAATCTGTGAAGGGAAAGTCTGTTGGTAGTGCCCATACGGTTACTTGAGTCACTAAAACCGGTCATTGTCTGCTCCGACGTGTTCTGAATTGCAGAAGATGTTGCGTCACTGCAACAAGAACATAAAAATCTATGAAGGGAAAGTGTGTTGGTAGCGCCCATGCGGTTACTTGAGTCACTAATGCTGGTCATTGTCTGCTCTGATGTGTTCTGAATTGCAGAAGATGTTGCATCACTGCAAGAACATAAAAATCTGTGAAGGGAAAGTCTGTTGGTAGTGCCCATACGGTTACTTGAGTCACTAAAACCAGTCATTGTCTGCTCTGATGTGTTCGGAATTGCAGAAGATGTTGTGTCACTGCAAGAAGAACTTAAAAGCCTGTGAAGGGAAAGTCTGTTGGTACTGTCATAAGCTGTCCTATCAGCCTGCTCAGAATGTGAGAACATATGGCTAAGTCCTCCTTTTTCACTTTCTAATGTCTCAGCATTGTTTGGTCTGTTAGATGTTAACCAAGTTCTACTAGCTATGCTGTCTTCCTCATAAGTTTCTCTAGATTGAACTCTTCCTTCTTCTGTATCAGAGAATATAGCTGAATTCATCAACCTTGATCCCCAAGGGTCACCAATGCTGTCTGAGTCAGAAGAATATTCATCTTGAATGACATTTCCTATTTCAGAGGTTACAGAAGGACCTCTGTTTTGCAACTCGGGTTTAGTTACTTGCTGTCTGGGTGTTTCTTGGTGCTGAGTTGTAGAATATCTTTCAATTTCATTTCCCCGTAGATCATGATAATTCCAAGGTCTTATGCCATGAGGAAATCCTTCTTCAATATCCCTCAGGAAATCTTTAATCGACCTACCTCTAATTCTAGCTCTGGTATTTCTACGGTCTGGGCTTCTGCTTCTTGCACTCCTCTGACCTCTGGTAGGTTGGATGTCAACTAATGAGTCATTTGTGCTTTGTTCCCACCTAAATGGTTTTGTATATATCGATTCAGATGGTGAATTTTCCAATTGGCTCTGGCTGTCTTCTGTATTTTCTGTCTCATGAAGTCTTGGAGATGGTGCATATTCATTCTCCCTATCCGGGCTCTCAGTATTATAGTTAACATTTCTTTCTGAATTTATTTTGGAATCTTCACTGTTTGGATCAGTCTGGTTCACTTCTGTCCAAGATTGGTTTTCTCTTTGCTCACCTGTCACATTTTCAGTTTGTGTAACAGAGTTAAGCCAGTTTATTAGAGAGTCACTACTGGACACATCATCTGAGGAGTCTCCACCACCTGTTAACAAAAGGGGGGTGGGTGGTTTTTATAAAGGAACTACCACAATTAAATCATTATAAAATGACACTTTAACAGTTTGTTTCAAAACAAAAACAGAATTTAAATACTCATATGCTTTGAATGCAGCTCACATTTATAGTTAATAGTCTGTAAACTGCACTGTCTAAATTTATAAGGCAGGAACATTTCAATTTCTTATGAAAAAAGTCAGCTAACCCTACATGAATTTGAAGAACTGGATTTTTAAAAAGGAATCTGGAGGAAGTCTATTTTCAGTGTTTCATCATACAGAGTTTTGTGTACCAGTTTGGGAGGAGTGGTGCTTTCCACAATTTTTCATTCACTATCAAAATACTAATGAAATTAAACAAAGTAAATACCAATTAATGTGCAGTGCTAGTTTTTAAATTCAGTTTACATTATTGTCTAATTCTTATTAGTTTATTACATTATTTCTAGGCTCTCAACCTAGGTAATTTTGATAATGAAGTCGTTTTAAAATAGTCAGTTCTAAAGTCAAAAGAATGATCAGAAACTACAATGAACAGTTATATTTAAACAAGTTCAACAATCCAGAAGAGATGGAAAAATCCCTATAACTTTACAATCACCCAAACTAGATAAGGAAGAAATAGAACATCTAAACAGCCCAATTACAAGCAGTAAAATTGAAATGGTAATCAAAACCCTCCCCCAAAACCAAAGCCCAGGAGCAGATGGATTTACAAATGAATTCTACCAAACATTCAGAAATGAACTAGTGCCTATCATTCACAAACTCTTTCAAACAATTGAGAAGGAAAGGATACCAAACACGTTTTATAAAGCCAACATTACATTAATACCAAAACTGAACAAGGACAACTCAAAAAAGAAAACTACAGGCCAATCTCTCCATTGAAAACTGATGCAAAAATCTGCAATGAAAAATTTTAGCTATCAGAATCCAACAATGTAGCCATAAGATAATTCACCACTAGCAAGTAGGATTTATTCCAGGGTCACAAGGATGGTTCAACATCTGAACACCAAGCAGTGTAATCCAACACATCAGCAAAAAGAAATATAAAAACCATATGATAATATCAATAGATGCTGAGAAAGCTTTTGACAAAGTACAACACCCATTTATGGGGTATATTTTTTTATTTTTTTTTTTTTTTAATAGAGGCATTTTTCTTTATTTATTTGTTTGCTTGGTTTAACATGCACGGGGCACAGTCAGAAGCGAAGAGAACTCACCAGAGCCAGAGCGGGGAGCAGAGCAGGCAGAAGGACAAAGTACACTGCTGAGGGAGCAGCCGGCAGGAGAGGTCTGCGCACATGTGGGACCTCCTCGGTGGCCGGGGAGCAGATTGAACCGGCGCTGCAGGCCGCGGGCAGCTTCGCAACCAGCGCTCTACCGCTGCGCCACCTGGACCCTACACACCCATTTATGATAAAAGCTCTTGAAATTCTCAGGATACAAGGAACATACCTTAATATCATAAAGGCCATATATGACAAGCCCATAGCCAATATCATTCTCAATGGTGATAGTTTGAAGCATTGCTATTAAGATCTAAAACAAGACAAGGCTGTCCACTCTCACCATTGCTTTTCAATATAATACTGGAAATCCTAGCCAGAGCAATAAGACAAGAGAAAGATGTACAAGGAATCCAAATAGGGAAGGAAGAAGTCAAACTATCACTATTCGCAGATGATATGATAATATACATAGAGAACCCCAAAAACACCACAGAAAAACTAAAACAAATCAATTTAGTAAAGTAGCAGGATACAAAATCAACACTCAAAAATCAGCAGCCTACCTATGCACAAACAAAAAATCTGAAAAAGGAGAAATCAAGAAAGCCATCTCTTTTATTATTGAAACAAAAAAAAAAATACTAGGGAATAAACCACACAAAAGAGTTAAAGGAACTATACAAAGAAAACTATAAAACACTGTAAAAATAAATAGAATAGGACGCAAAGAAATGGAAAGACATCTGCTGCTCATGGGTTAAAACAATTAACTTTGACAAAATGGCCAATTTCAATGGCATTCTTCAAATAAATAGAACAAATATTGATGGAATTCAAATGGAGACACCAAAATGCCTGAATAGCCAAAGCTCTCCTGCAGAAAAGAGAACAGAGGGATCAAACTCCCAGACTTCAAAATATAAATCAAAGCCATAATAATCAAAACTGCATGGTATTGGAACAAGAACAAACACACAGACCAATGGAACCAAACATAAAATCCAGGAATAAACCGACAACTAATCTTTGATGAAGGAGCACAGTATATGCAATGGAGCAAAGAACGTTTGTTCAAAATGGTGCTGGGACAACTGGGGCGCTACATGCAAAAGAATGAAGCTTGACTACTACCTCATACCATACACAAAAACCAAGTCAAGATGGATTAAAGGAGAAGACATAATACCTGAAGCCATAAAATATATAGAAGGAAATATAGGCAAAACACTACATGACATACCCCTCAGTAACATCTTTAAAGACACAACACCCAGAACAGTGATAATGAAGGCAAATATATACTGATGGGACTACATCCAATTAAAGAGCTTCTGTACAGCACACGAGACAGAAACCAAAACTAAGAGACACCCCACCAAGTGGGAGAAAATTTTTGCACACACTAATGATAACTGATTACAAAAATCTACAAAGAGCTGATGAGACTCCATAAAAACAAAGTAAATATTCCAGTCAAAAAATGGGCATAAGAGCTAAAAAGAAACTTCTCCAAAGAGGAAATGCAAATGGCCACCAGGCATATGAAAAAATGTTCATCACTTGAAATCAGGGAAATGCAAATCAAAACGACAATGAGATACCATCTTACACCAGTGAGAATGGCACATATTAAAAAACTAGCAACAACAAATGATGGTGAGGATGTGGAGAAAAAGGAGCTCTCCCACACTGCTGGTGGGAGTGCAATCCACTATGCAAAGCTGTGTGGAGATTCCTCAGCCTGCTAAAGATGGAGCTCCCTATGATCCAGCAATTCCACTCCCAGCTATTTACACAAAGGACACAAACATTAATTCAAAAGGGCACCTGCACCCCTATGATTATAGTGTCACTATTTACAATAGCTAAGCTATGGAAACAACACAAATGCCCCAATATAGATGACTGGATTAAGAAGATGTGGTACATATACACCATGGAATATTACTCAGCAATCCAAAAAGATAAACTCATGCAATTTGCAGCAACATGGATGGAGCTGGAAGGGATCATGCTCAGCCAAATAAACCAGAAAGAAAAAGAAAAATACCAGATGGTCTTACTTATAGCAGGAAGTTAGAAAACATAATTAAGAGACCAGGTAAAAACCAAATTATCACAAAGTAAAAATCAAAATGATCAAACAACTATAACACAGAGACACAATAAGGGGCGTGGGGGGAGGAGGGAGTACACTCAAAACAAGGGAGGTGGGAATTGTATGGGGACTATATGGGAGATGAAAATGCATACATTGTGCAAAAATGAAAAAAAAAATAAACAATGTATAAAATAAAAAAAAAAAATTCCAAAGTCTTATGTCATGAGGAAATCCTTCTGTGATTTCACTCAGTAAATCTGAAGGTGACCTACCGTCAGTTCTCGCTCTGGTTCTTCTATGGTCTGGGCTTCTGCTTCTTGCTCTCTTCTGACCTCTGGTAGGTGGGACGTCCACTAATGATTCATTAGTGCTTTGTTCACACCGAAACGGTTTTGTATATATTGATTCACATGGTAAATTATCCATTTGGCTCTGGCTGTCTTCCGTATTTTCTGTTCCATGAAGTCTTGGAGATGGTGCATATCCATTCTCCCTATCCGGGCTCTCAGTATTATGGTTAGCATTTCTTTCTGAATTTATTTTGGAATCTTCACTGTTTGGATCAGTCTGGTTCACTTCTGTCCAAGATTGGTTTTCTCTTTGCTCACCTGTCACATTTTCAGTTTGTGTAACAGAGTTAAGCCAGTCTCTTAGAGAGTCACCACTGGACACATCATCTGAGGAGTCTCCACCACCTGTTAGCAAGAGGGGGGTGGGTGGTTTTTATAAAGGAACTACCACAATTAAATCTTCACAAAATGGCACTGTAGCACTTTGTTTCCAAAAAAAAAAAACTGAGAATTGAAATACTCATGCTTTAATGGAGCTCACATTTATAGTTAATAGTTTGTAAACTGCACTGTCCAAATTTATAAGGAACAAACATTTCAGTTTATTAATTATGAAAAAAATTAGCTAATGCTACATAAATTTGAAAACCTGGATTTTTAAAAAGGAATCTGGAGGAAGTCTATTTTCAGTGTTTCATAATACAAAAACTTGTGTAGCACAGAGGGAGGAGTGGTGCATTCCACAATTTTTCTTTCACTATCAAACTACTAATGAGGGCCCTCCCTAGTGGCAGAGGGAAAAGACATAACCTATGAAGTAATCTGCAGTCACTGCAGCACGAGTTAAGTCCCCACAGGCCAAGGAGCAACCCACATGGCATAGCAGACCGCTCCTGTCTCGCCCACTGCTCCCCTCAGCAGTGTATTTCAGTCACTCTGCTTGTTCTGTTCCCTGCTCTGTCTCTGGTGAATCCTCTAACTACCCGCATCTCTGGCCTGTACCCCATTTTGTATGCATAAATAAATAAATATTTAAAAAATACTCATTAAATCAAACAAGGTAAATACCAGTTAATATGCAGTGTTTTTTTTTTTAAATTCAGTTTACATTGTTGTCTAATTCTTATTAGTGTAGTTCATTATTTCTAGGCTCTCAACCTAGGTAATTTTGATAATGAAGTCGTTTTAAAATAGTCTGTTCTAAAATCAAAAGAAGGATCAGAAACTACTATGAACAGTTAGAGGCAAACAAGTTCAATAATACAGAAGAGATGGATAAATTCTTATAACTTTGCAATCACACAAGCTAGATAAGGAAGGAATAGAACACCTAAACAGCCGAATTACAAGCAGTGAAATTGAAATTGTAATCAAAACCCTCCCCCAAAACCAAAGCCCAGGAGCAGATGGATTTACAAATGAATTTTACCAAAATTCAGAACGAACTAGTGCCTATCATTCACAAACTCTTTTCAAACAATTGAGAAGGAAAGGATGATACCAAACACGTTCTATGAAGCCAACATTACACTAATACCAAAACTGAACAAGGACAACTCAAAAAAAAGAAAACTATAGGCCAATCTCTCTAATGTACACTGATGCAAAAAATCTGCAATGAAATTTTAGCTATCAGAATCCAACAATGTAGCCATAAGATAATTCACTATGAGCAAGTAGGATTTATTCCAGGGTCACAAGGATGGTTCAACATAGGAACACCAAGCAGTGTAATCCAACACATGAGCAAAAAAATATATAAACCATATGATAATATCAATAGATGCTGAGAAAAGCTCTGACAAAGTACACACCCATTTATGATAAAGGCTCTTGAAATTCTCAGGATACCAGGAACATACCCTAATATCAAGAAGGCCATATATGACAAGACCACAGCCAATATCATTCTTACTAGTGAATAGTTGAAAGCATTTTCATTAAGATCTGGAACAAGACAAGGATGTCCACTCTTCCCACTGTTTTTCAGTATAATACTGGAAGTCCTAGCCAGAGCAATAAGACAAGAGAAAGATGTACAAGGAATCCAAATAGGGAAGGAAGAATTCAAACTCTCACTATTTGCAGATGATATGATAATACAAATAGACAACCCCTAAAACTCCACAACAACTAATCAATCTAATCAATCAGTTTAGTAAAGTAGCAGGATACAAAATCAACATGCAAAAATCAGCAGCCTTCCTATGCACAAACAACAAATTAGAAGGAGCAGAAATCAAGAAAGCCATCTGTTTTATTATTGATACCAAAAAAATCTATTACTTGTGAATAACCTTACAAAAGAGGCAAAGGACCTATACAAAGAAGATATAAAACACTGTTAAAATACACAGGACATGAAGAAATGGAAAGACATCTGCTGCTGATGGATTGGAACAATTAACTTTGATAAATTGGCCATCCTACCAAAACAATCTACAGATTCAATGCTATTCCAATGAAAATTTCAATGACATTCTTCAAAGAAATAGAACAAATATTGATGAAATTCATATGGAGCCACCAAAACCACCATATAGCCAAAGCTCTCCTGGAAAAAAAAAAAAAAAAGAACAAAGGGATCAAACTCCCAGACTTCAAAATATAAATCAAAGCCATAATAATCAAAACTGCATGGTACTGCAACAAGAAGAAACACACAGACCAATGGAACCAAAAATAAAAAACAGGAATAAACCCACAACTGATCTTTGACATAGGAGAAAAGTATATGCAATGGAGCAAGGAACGTTTGTTCAATAAATGGTGCTGGGACAACTGGGGTGCTACATGCAAAAGAATGAAGCTTGACTACTACCTCATACCATACACAAAAACCAAGTCAAGATGGATTAAAGGAGAAGACATAAGACCTGAAGCCATAAAATATATAGAAGGAAATACAGGCGAAACACTACATGACATACCCCTCAGTAACATCTTTAAAGACACATCACCCAAAGCAGTGATAGTGAAGGCAAAGATAAACAGATGGGATCACATCCAATTAAAGAGCTTATGTACAGCACACCAGACAGAAACCAAAACTAAAAGACACCCCTCCTATTGAGAGAAAATTTTTGCACACACTAATGATAAAGAACTGATTACAAAAATCTACAAAGAGCTGATGAGACTCCACAAAAACAAAGTAAATAATCCAGTCAAAAAATGGGCAGAAGAGCTAAAAAGAAACTTCCCCAAAGAGGAAATGCAAATGGCCGGCAGGCATAGGAAAATTGTTCAACATCACTTGAAATCAGGGAAATGCAAATAAAACGACAATGAGATAACATCTTACACCAGTAAGAATGGCATATATTAAAAAAAAAAAAAAATAGCAACAACAAATGTTGGTGAGGATGTGGAGAAAAAGGAACTCTCCTGCACTGCTGGTGGGAGTGCAAACTGGTCCAACCACTATGCAAAGCTGTGTGGAGATTCTTCAACCTGCTAAAGATGGAGCTTCCCTATGATCCAGCAATTCCACTCCCAGGTATTTACACAAAGGACACAAACATTAATTCAAAAGGGCACCTGTACCCCTATGTTTATAGTGTCACTATTTACAATAGCTAAGCTGTAGAAACAACCCAAATGCCCCAGAATAGATGACTGGATCAAGAAGATGTGGTACATATACACCATGGAATATTACTCAGCAATCCAAAAAAAGATAAACTCATGCAATTTGCAGCAACATGGATGGAGCTGGAAGGGATCATGCTCAGCCAAATAAACCAAAGAGAAAAAGAAAAATACCAGATGGCATAATTAAGAGACCAGGTAAAAACATAATTATAACAAAGCAAAAATCAAAATCATCAAACAACTATAACACAGAGACACGATACCGGGTGTGGGGGGAGGAGGAACTAGACTCAAAACAAGGGAGGTGGGAATTGTATGGGGACTATATGGGAGATGAAAATGCATACATTGTGCAAAAATGAAAAAAAAATAAACAATGTATATAATAAAAAAAAAATTTCAAGGTCTTATATCATGAGGAAATCCTGCTGTGATTTCACTCAGTAAATCTGAAGGTGACCTACCGTCAGTTCTCGCTCTGGTTCTTCTATGGTCTGGGCTTCTGAAGCTTCTTGCTCTCTTCTGACCTCTGGTAGGTGGGACGTCCACTAATGATTTATTAGTGCTTTGTTCACACCGAAACGGTTTTGTATATATTGATTCACATGGTAAATTATCCATTTGGCTCTGGCTGTCTTCCGTATTTTCTGTTCCATGAAGTCTTGGAGATGGTGCATATCCATTCTCCCTATCCGGGCTCTCAGTATTATGGTTAGCATTTCTTTCTGAATTTATTTTGGAATCTTCACTGTTTGGATCAGTCTGGTTCACTTCTGTCCAAGATTGGTTTTCTCTTTGCTCACCTGTCACATTTTTAGTTTGTGTAACAGAGTTAAGCCAGTCTCTTAGAGAATCACCACTGGACACATCATCTGAGGAGTCTCCACCACCTGTTAGCAAGAGGGGGGTGGGCAGTTTTTATAAAGGAACTACCACAATTAAATCTTCACAAAATGACACTCTAACACTTTGTTTCAAAAAAAAAAAAACCTGAGAATTAAAATACTCATACTTTAATGGAGATCACATTTATAGTTAATAGTTTGTAAACTGCACTGTCCAAATTTATAAGGAAGAAACATTTCAGTTTATTAATTATGAAAAAAAATAGCTAATCCTACATAAATTTGAAAACCTGGATTTTTAAAAAGGAATCTGGAGGAAGTCTATTTTCAGTGTTTCATAATACAAAGACTTGTGTAGCACGGAGGGAGGAGTTGTGCATTCCACAATTTTTCTTTCACTATCAAACTACTAATGAGGGCCCTCCCTAGTGGCAGAAGGGATAAGACATAGCCTATGAAGTAATCTGCAGTCACTGCAGCACGAGTTAAATCCCCCACAGGCCAAGGAGCAACCCACATGGCATAGCAGACCGCTCCTGTCTCGCCTACTGCTCCCCTCAGCAGTGTATTTCAGTCACTCTGCTTGTTCTGTTCCCTGCTCTGTCTCTGGTGAATCCTCTAACTACCCGCATCTCTGGCCTGTACTCCAGTTTTTGTATGCATAAATAAATATTTAAAAAAATACTCATTAAATTAAACAAGTTAAATACCAGTTAATGTGCAGTGCTAGTTTTAAATTCAGTTTACATTATTGTGTAATTCTTATCAGTTTATTACATTATTTCTAGGCTCTCAACCTAGGTAATTTTGATAGTGAAGTCGTTTTAAAATAGTCTGTTCTAAAATCAAAAGAAGGATCAGAAACTACTGTGAACAGTATAGGCAAACAAGTTCAACAAGCCAGAGGAGATGGACAATTCCTACAACTTCACAATCACCCAAAGCTGGATAAAGAATACATAGAACACATAAACAGCCCAGTTACAAGCAGTGAAATTGAAATGGTAATCAAAACCCTTCCCCAAAACCAAAGCCCAGGAGCAGATGCATTTACAAATGAATTCTACCAAACAATCAGAAACAAACTAGTGCCTATCCTTCACAAACTCTTTCAAACAATTGAGAAGGAAAAGATAATACCAAACACGTTCTATGAAGCCAACATTACACGAATACCAAAACTGAACAAGGATAACTGAAAAAAAGAAAACTACAGGGCAATCTCTCTAGTGAACACTGATACAAAAATCTGCAATGAAATTTTAGCTATCAGAATCCAACAATGTATCCATAAGATAATTCACCACTAGCGAATAGGATTTATTCCAGGGTCACAAGGATGGTTCAACACCTGAAAACCAATCAGTGTTATCCAACACATCAGCAAAAAGAAATATAAAAATCATACGATAATATCAATAGATGCTGAGAAAGCTTTTGACAAAGTACAACATCATTTATGGATAAAGGCTTTTGAAATTCTCGGGATACAAGGAACATACCTTAATATCATAAAGGCCATATATGACAAGCCCATAGCCAATATCATTTTTAATGGTGAATAGTTGAAAGCATTTTCATTAAGATCTAGAACAAGACAAGGATGTCCACTCTCACCAATGCTTTTCAATATAATACTGGAAGTCCTAGCCAGAGCAATAAGACAAGAGAAAGACATACAATGAATCCAACTGGAAGGAAGATGTCAAACTATCACTATTTGCAGATGATATGATAATATACATAGAGAACCCCAAAAACTCCACAAAAACTAATCAATATAATCAATCAGTTTAGTAAAGTAGCAGGATACAAAATCAGCACACAAAAGTCAACAGCCTCCCTATGCACAAACAAATCTGAAGGAGGAGAAATCAAGAAAGCCATCTATTTAATTATTGAAACAAAAAAAATCAAATACTTGTGAATAACCTAACAAAAGAGGCAAATGACCTATACAAACAAAACTATGAAACACTGTTAAAATACACAGGACATGAAGAAAATGAAAGACATCTGCTGCTGATGGATTGGAACAATTAACTTTGACAAAATGGCCATCCTATCTAAAGCAATCTATAGGTTCAATGCTATTCCAATGAAAATTTCAATGGCATTCTTCAAAGAAATAGAATAAATATTGATGAAATTCATATCGAGACACCAAAACCACCGTATAGCCAAGGCTCTCCTGAAAAGAAAAAGAAGAGAATGGAGGCATCACATGCCCAGACTTCAAACTATGCTACACAGCCATAATAATCAAAACTGCATGGTATTGGAACAAGAACAAACACCCAGACCAATGGAACCAAACATAAAATCCAGGAATAAACCCACAACTGATCTTTGACATAGGAGAAAAGTATATGCAATGGAGCAAGGAACATTTGTTCAATAAAACTGCTAGGAAAACTGGGGCACTACATGCAACGAATGAAGCTTGACTACTACCTCACAACATACACAAAAACCAACTCAAGATGGATAAAGCACTAGACATAAGACCTGAAGCCATAAAATATGTAGAAGGAAATACAGGCAAAGCACTACATGACATACTCCTCAGTAACATCTTTAAAGACACATCACCCAAAGCAGTTATAGTGAAGGCAAAGATAAACAAATAAGACTACATCAAATTAAAGAGTTTCTGTACAGCAAACGAGATAGAAACCAAAACTAAGAGACATCCCACCAAGTAGGAGAAAATTTTGCAGACACTAATGATAAAGAACTGATTACAAAAATCTACAAAGAGCTGATGAGACTCCACAAAAACAAAATAAATAATCCAGTCAAAAAATGGGCAGAAGAGTTAAAAAGAAACTTCCCCAAAGAGGAAATGCAAATGGCCACCAGGCATATGAAAAAATGTTCAACATCACATGTAATCAGGGAAATGCAAATAAAACAACAATGAGATACCATTTTACACCAGTGAGAATGGCACATATTAAAAAAACAAAAACAAAAACAAAAAAAACTAGCAACAACAAATTTTGGTGCGGATGTGGAGAAAAAGGACTCTCCTGCACTGCTGGTGGGAGTGCAAACTGGTCCAACCACTATGCAAAGCTGTGTGGAGATTCCTCAACCTGCTAAAGATGGAGCTTCCCTATGATCCAGCAATTCCACTCCAAGGTATTTACACAAAGAACACAAACATTAATTCAAAAGGGCACTTGCAGCCCTATATTTATAGTGGCACTATTTAAAATAGCTAAGCTATGGAAACAACTTAAATGCCCCAAAATAGATGACTAGATCAAGAAGATGTGGTACATATACACAATGGAATATTACTCAGCAATCAAAAAAGATAAACTCATGGAATTTGAAGCAACATGGATGGAGCTGGAAGGAATCATGCTCAGTGAAATAAGCCAGAAAGAAAAAGAAAAATACCAGATGGTCTTACTCATAGCAGGAAGTTAAAAAACCTAATTAAGAGACCAGGTAAAAACCTAATTATAACAAAGCAAAAATCAAAATCATCAAACAACTATAACACAGAGACACAATACGGGGTGGGGTCGGGGGGGGGAGTAGATTCAAAACAAGGGAGGTGAGAATTGTATGGGGACTATACTGGAGATGAAAATGCATACATTGTGCAAAAATGAAAAAAAGTTAAACAGTATAAAATAAAAATAAAATTCCAAGGTCTTATGTCATGAAATCCTGCTGTGATTTCACTCAGTAAATCTGAAGGTGACCTACCGTCAATTCTCGCTCTGGTTCTTCTATGGTCTGGGCTTCTGCTTCTTGCTCTCCTCTGACCTCTGGTAGGTGGGATGTCCACTGATTCATTAGCACTTTGTTCACACTTAAACGGTTTTGTATATATTGATTCACATGGTAAATTATCCATTTGGCTCTGGCTGTCTTCCGTATTTTCTGTTCCATGAAGTCTTGGAGATGGTGCATATCCATTCTCCATATCTGGGCTCTCAGTATTATAGTTGGCACTTCTTTCTGAATTTATTTTGGAGTCTTCACTGTTTGGATCAGTCTGGTTCACTTCTGTCCAAGATTGGTTTTCTCTTTGCTCACCTGTCACATTTTCAGTTTGTGTAACAGAGTTAAGCCAGTCTCTTAGAGAGTCACCACTGGACACATCATCTGTGGAGTCTCCTCCACCTGTCAGCAAGATGGAGGCAGGTGGTTCTTAAAAAGGAACTACCACAATTTTATCATCACAAAATGACACTAACATGTTGCTTCAAAACAAAAACTGAGAATTAAAATACTCATGCTTTGAATGGAGCTCACATTTATAGTTAGCAGTTTGTAAACCGCACTGTCTAAATTTATAAGGCAGAAATGATTCAGTTTATTAATTATGAAAAAAGTTAGCTAATCCTACATAAATTTGAAAACCTGGATTTTTAAAAAGGAATCTGGAAGAAGTCTATTTTCAGTGTTTCATCATACAAAGTCTTGTGTAGCACAGAGGGAGGAGTGGTGCATTCCACAATTTTTCTTTCACTATCAAACTACATGAGGGGCCTCCCTGGTGGCAGAAGGGAGAGGACGCAACCTATGAAGTAATCTGCAGTCACTGCAGCAGGAGTTCAATCTCCCAAGGCCAAGGAGCAACCCACATGGCACAGCAGACCACTCCTGTCTTGCCCACTGCTCCCCACAGCAGTGTATTCAGTCAGACTGCTTGTTCTGTTCCCTGCTCTGTCTCTGGTGAATCCTCTAACTACCCGCATCTCTAGCATGTACCCTAGTTTTTGTATGCATAAATAAATCTTTAAAAATACTAATTAAATTAAACAAGGTAAATACCAGTTAATGTGCAGTGCTAGTTTTAAAATTCAGTTTACATTATTGTCTAATTATTATTAGTGTATCACATTATTTCTAGGCTCTCAACCTAGGTAATTTTGATAATGTCGTCGTTAAAATAGTCTGTTCTAAAATCAAAAGAAGGATCAGAAACTACTATGAACAGTTATAGGCAAACAAGTTCAATTATACAGAAGAGATGTATAAATTCCTATAACTTTACAATCACCCAAGCTAGATAAGGAAGAAATAGAACACCTAAACAGCCCAATTATAAGCAGTGAAACTGAAATGGTAATCAAAACCCTCCCCCAAAACCAAAGCCCAGGAGCAGATGCATTTACAAATGAATTCTACCAAACATTCAGAAACTAACAAGTGCCTTTCCTTCACAAACTCTTTCAAACAATTGAGAAGGAAAGGATGATCCAAACATGTTCTATGAAGCCAGCATTATACTAATACAAAAACTGAACAAGGACAACTCAAAAAAAGGAAAACTACAGGCGAATCTCTCTAATGAACACTGATGCAAAAATCTGCAATGAAATTTTCGCTATCAGAATCCAACAATGTAGCCATAATTCACCACGAGCAAGCAGGATTTATTCCAGGGTCACAGGGATGGTTCAACATCTGAAAACCAATCAGTGTAATCCAACACATCAGCAAAAAGAAATATAAAAACAATACAGTAATATCAATAGATGCTGAGAAAGCTTTTGACAAAGTACAACACCATTTATGGATAAAGGCCTTTGAAATTCTCGGGATACAAGGAACATACCTTAATATGATAAAGACCATATATGACAAGCCCATAGCAATATCAATCTCATGGTGAAAAGTCAAAAGCATTTTCATTAAGATCTGGAACAAGACAAGGATGTCCACTCTCACCAGTGCTTTTTAGTATAATACTGGAAGTGCTAGCCAGATCAATAAAACAAGAGAAAGACATACATGGAATCCAACTTGAAAGAAGTCAAACTATCACTATTTGCAGATGATATGATAATATACATAGAGAACCCCAAAAACTCCACAAAAACTAATCAGTCTAATCAATCAGTTTAGTAAAATAGCAGGAGACAAAATGAACACGCAAAAACAGTAGTCTCCTATGCACAAACAACAAATCTGAAAAAGAAGAAATCAAGAAAACCATCTCTTTTATTATTGAAACAGAAAAATATCAAATACTTGGGAATAAACCTAACCAAAGAGGTAAAGGACCTCTACAAAGAAAGCTATAAAACACTGCTAAAATAAATAAATGGGGCCTCCCCGGTGGTGCAGCGGTTGAGCGCTGGGTTGCATAGCTGCCCGCGGCCTCTGTGGCGCCGGTTCGATCCCAGGCTACTCCCTGGCCACTGGAGAAGGGTCCCACATGGCGTGCAGACCTCTCCTGCCGCCCGCTGCTCTCCTCAGCAGTGTACTTCAGTCCTTCTGCCTGCTCTGCTCTCTGCTCTGGCTCTGGTGAATTCTCTCACCCTCCCGTGCTTCTGACTGTACCCAGTGCATGTATAAACAAAACAAACAAACAAACAAATGAAACAAAAACATGTGTCTATAAAAAAATAAAATTAAATAAATAAATAAATAAATGAAGACACAAAGAAATGCAAAGACAACTGCTGCTTATGGACTGGAAGAATTAACATTGACAAAATGGCCATCCTACCAAAAGGAATCCACAGAGTCAATGCTATTCCAATAAAAATTTCAATGACATTCTTCAAAGAAATAGAACAAATATTGATGATGTTCATATGGAGCCACCAAAACCCCCGAATAGCCAAAGCTCTCCTCACAGACTTCAAAATATACTACAAAGCCATAATAATCAAAACTGCATTGTATTGGTACAAGAACAAACACACAGAACCAAGCATAAAAATCCAGGAATAAATCCACAACTAATCTTTTTTTTTTTTAATTTTTAAAAAGATTATTTATTTATACAAGCACTGGGTACAGTCAGAAGCGCGGGAGGGTGAGAGAATTCACCAGAGCCAGAGCGGGGAGCAGAGCAGGCAGAAGGACCGAAGTACACTGCTGAGGGTAGCAGTGGGCAGCAGGAGAGGTCTGCGCGCCATGTGGGACCCTCCTCTGGTGGCCGGGGAGCAGCCGGGGATAGAACCGGTGCCGCAGAGGCCGCGGGCAGCTTCACAACCCAGCGCTCAACCACTGCGCCACCGGGGAGGCCCTCCACAAATAATCTTTGACAAAGGAGCAAAGTATATGCAATAGAGCAAAGAAAGCTTGTTCAATAAATGGTGCTATGACAATGGGAGTGCTACATGCAAAAGAATGAAGCTTGACTACTACCTCACACCATGCACAAAAACCAACTCAAGATGGATTAAAGCACTATACATAATACCTGAAACAATAAAATATATAGAAGGAAATATAGGCGAAACACTACATGACATACCCCTCAGTAACATCTTTAAAGACACATCGCCCAAAGCATTGATAGTGAATGTAAAGATAAACAGATGGGACTACATCAAATTAAAGAGCTTCTGTACAACAAATGAGACAGATACCACAACTAAAAGACACCCCACCAACTGGGAGAAAAATTTTGCACACAACACTAATGATAAAGGACTGATTACAAAAAATCTATAGAGCTGATGAGACAAAAACAAAGTAAATAATCCAGAAAAAAACAAATTAAATAATCCAGTCAAAAAATGGGCAAAAGAGCTAAAAAGAAACTTCTCCAAAGAAGAAATGCAAATGGCCACCAGGCATATGAAAAAATATTCAACATCACTTGTTATCAGGGAAATGCAAATCAAAACTACAATGAGATACCATCTTACACCAATGAGAATGACACATATTAAAAAAAAAAACAAAAAAAAAAACTAGCAACAACAAACGTTGGTGAGGATGTGGTGAAAAAGGAACTCTCCTGCACTGCTGGTGGGAGTGCAAACTGGCCCAACCACTATGGAGAGCTGTGTGGAGATTTCTGGACCTACTAAACATAGAGCTTCCATATGATCCAGCAATTCCACTCCTAGGTATTTACCCAAAGGACACAGAAACATCAATTCCAAAGAGCACCTGCACCCCTGTGTTTATAGTGGCACTATTTACAATAGCTAAGCTATGGAAAAAACTCAAATGCCCCAAAATAGATGACTGGATCAAGATGTGGTACATATACACCATGGAATATTACTCAGCAATCCAAAAAGATAAACACATGCAATTTGTAGCAACATGGATGGAGCTGGAAGGGATCATGCTCAGCCAAATAAACCAGAACAAAAAAGAAAAATACCAGATGGTTTTACTCATAGCAGGAATTTTGAAAACCTAAATAAGAGACCAGGTAAAAATCCTAATTATAACAAAGCAAAAATCAAAATCAACAAACAACTATAAAACAGAGACACACTACAGCAGAGGAGGAGGGAGTAGGATCAAAACTAGGGAGGTGGGAATTGTTTGGGGACTATAAGCAAGATGAAAATGCATACATTGTGCAAAAATGTGAAAAATGCAAAAATTGTGAAAAATGATGTAAGAAATATCTAAAATAATAATTTTAAAAATTAAAAAATAATTAAAAAAGTCTGTTCTAGCCATTACACATATATAAACAAGGTTTATAGGTTTAAAGTTATTTGTATTCTTTTAAAGTTACCAAAATTTGTAACTGGTCTGAAATTGAAGGTGAGATTAAATGAGTAGGGTGAACCTTGGACAATAAATAAGGCAATATTTACAAACCAAACCACCATAACATCTACTTCATTAGAGAGTAAAATTCTATACTTTATACTGGGAGATAAACACAAGGCCTTAGGTGAGAGCAGGGTTTCTCAACCTTAGCAATATTTACATTTTAGTACCATTTCTTTTTTTTGAGAAGCCATTCTTTGCATTGTGGGATGTTTGGCAGCATCTCTGTCCTGTACCCACTACCTGCCAGTAACCCCCACCCTCCACTATGACAAGCAAAAATAGCTCCAGACACTCTGTGATGGAGAGAACAAAATTACCTCCATTTGAGAACCATTAGAGTATGAAATATTTCTAAGGAAGTCATATGTCTATATAGCAGAAATAATTTAGCAAGTAGAAGGAACTTTTATTGGAGGTGGAAAACCAACAAAAATATCCACAGGCTGTTGTATAATTTTTCCCAATTAAAAACACCTAAATATGATTAGAGGGCAAACACCTTGGCATTTTTACCACCAGATAAGTAAATGCCAGTTTATTTTAAATGAGAAGTTACTTAGCACCAAATTAATTTGTACCCCTCTGATATAATATTTGGCGAATATTATGTTCCTTACTCCTCCCATCCTATTCCCCCCAAAAGTGAAACATACCTGTGTTTTCATCTGTGTTTTGTGGTGCGTCTTCTTTAAGAAGTTGAAGTCTTCTCAGCAGTTCTTCTTCTGTACTTTCTCCTGGGATGCCAAGCAAATTGTTATCCCGCATAAGTTTATAATCCTCTACAGTCAGATTATTTACGAATCGGAAGAAATCTTCTTCCCGGAGGAGTCGGTCGGTCTGACTTCCGCCGAGGCTCTCCGCTCCGTCGCCTTCATCTTCGGAATCTGAGCTTTCCATCTAGACGAACAGGTGGAAAACCACCTGTCTTTCACCGCTCGGTGTTCAATTAAAGTAACGGAATTTTGGCTTTCTTGACTTCCTGCTTCCCATCCAGGAAGTTGAGCTTCCCACAGTTAGTGTGTGTCGATCCAGCCAAGCTGGATTCACCTACACGCCGCGTCCCCCGACCGCCTCCTGCCTCCGTGGGTTCCGCAGTGTCCGGCGAGTAAACGACCGAGACCACCTGTATCCCGGCACCTAGCACACGTGGTTGCCTAGGCATGCGTCACCCCCCGCATTGTTACCTCACGGGGTTCTAGTCAAGTTAGGTTTTTTTTTTTTTTTCCAAGTTAGGTTTCATTCGCAGTCATACTATGCTGACGTTATCCTAATGGAATAAAAGAATTTTTATTTTCAGGTGCTCAGTCTTTTTTGTCTTTCTGTCTTTTTTCCCTAGAATCTTATATACTCAGTAAAAAGGCCACACTGTGATTATTCACCCGGGGTATGCTGAATCTCTTTTAGTTGGGTCCTCTTCCTTTTATTTCCCAGTAGCTTCATTGTGCATTATTTGTTAAAACTCCAAAAACAAAAAAACAAAACAAAAAAAAACCAGAAAATTAAACTTTGCTGGGGTTTCTGCTCACCCAGAGAATTCCTTAATTCTCCATATTTCATTTTTATCCTCCTAGCCAGAACATCACAGAGACTCTTAAACCAGATCCATAGTAATTATTTTGCCTACATGAATGACTACTGACTTTTGCTGTTTTTAATCCCTTGTGTATTGGTGTAGATGGGATGATTTGGTGAAAATAATTCTTATTTCCAGTGCTATCTAAAGGAGACCTGTAAGAGTTTCTGGAGTTTCTACTCTTACCAGTTACACTTAATAATTGTTTTGGATCCTTCTTTCAAGTTGTTCATGTGAAGACAATGTTTCACTACAGAATTTGGGATATTGTTCAGTTTGGCTTATTTAAGATGCCTTTTAACATAAAATTAGTTACTTGTTCTAGAGAGTAGAAATTTGTCAAATGTTGTAGCAGTCTATGCTCCCAAGTAACCAATACTCAAGTGAGGGAAACCTCACATAGAAATTATCAAAATGTATTATGCTATAATAGATTTATTTATAGTAATATGGAAGTCCAGAGAACATAGTAATGTGTTTATACAAAGATCAGCATGATGATTTAATGGGAGTTGGTAAATATTTCATAGATCTATTTAAATCTGAGTTTTTAAGTATGATTGAGTTTCTTCAGATGGAAAGTGGCAGCAGGGGTGTGTTGGTGAAGAGAGTGTGTCAGACAGAAAGAACAGTCTTGATGATCTTGCTTTGTTTAGACACTGTGGTCATAATTTTGGAGTCAGAGTGGGAATGTTGTAAAATGGATTCTAAAAGGAATAACTGAGCCAGACTGTAATTGAAATGTTTTTGGTCCTGTGAGAAATGGGACATTGAAAAAGTGTTTTTTGAGAATAACAGATTTTGGTTTTGCATGCTTAGCGTCCATATAACATGCTTAGGATAATAGCACCCTGATTTTCCAAGGGGAAGAACCTATTCTCCCACCTTAGCCCAGCTGGTTTAGGTGGAGTTAAATTCACTGCCATTGTTACAGGGCAGCCCCAATACAAAATGGGGTGCCTGACTGTGAGTCCTCACCTGCGCACTTAAAGGAACTTATTAATACTCCACTGCAGGCACACACAAAAGGTTAATAAGAGGTTTATTTACAAGGGAAGGGGAAATGAGGAAATGTACAACTCAGGGAGAAAAGTGGGAGATAAAGTCTTAAACGCGTCCTATCCAATCCGCCAATCTGGAATCCCAAATGGCACTCTGAGAGCTGGCCGCGAGCCAGGAGCCGAGAAGCCAGGAGGTGAGCGAGCGAGAGACCTGAAGGCCCACGTGTCTGGTTTTATACCAAACCTGGCTGCTTAACACCACCCTCAGGTCCCAGCAACCTTCCCTTTGGTGGTGACGGGATTTGTCTTTCCTAATGTCTTGATGGCTTTAGTCTGGAGTGGGGGTGAGTCCACAAAGCCTGTATGGGATTAGCTCAGGACATCATTTCCCCCTAACACCATGGCTAAAGGGATGGACACATAACATAGCCATGTCCAATAAGCATATCTCAAATTGCTGGTTATCCTAGTTGGTTTAAACATGGGCATGTGACAAGAGGTGCATTTAAGTGTTGCGTGTGAGATGTTGGAATTCTTGGAAATTGTTTTCCAACTTGAGATATAAGCCTAAACATATCTGTGACTATCCATGTACTTGAGAACAAGGAACATCAGTGTAAAGATACAGAGGAAAATAGAGTCATATACCTGCAAAAACTTTTGAGAAATACCTAAAGCTCAATGGGCCTTAGGATTTTTAGATCTCCAAACCAATGCATTTCATTATTTAATTGTAAACTTTGAAGGATTTCAGTCAATTATGATTAGAAGTTGCAATGTCGGAGTGACATGATCAGTGATTAAATCAGATGTAATTTCTAATAAATTTTCCATGCAAGTCTTAGTTTTTAGTGTCCCTCCCTTAAAGTTAACATATTTATATAGTTTAAATTGGATTAGTTTTTTATGGAAGATAAGAAAAAAGATTTTTCCAGCTGTCATTTATTTCATAAGTATTTATTAGGCACTGAAATTGTGTATAATTAACTTGAATGAAATGAACAATTATTCTTATTTGATTATCAATTAAATGTGGTTACAACATATAATTTTTATTGTTAGATAAATTTCCTAATTCTCTTTACCATGAGTTCCTTTCAAAATATCCCTATGTGGCATTTCTTTTATATATCATACAATGTATTCTGATATCATGGCCCAGTAGTATTCATTTAAGACTCAAATGAAGAGAAAATATCCTGAAGTAAAATACCATTGAACATTTGGTTTATACTAGGAAACAAAATGTTCCTGGTGGGAACTAAAATGTCTTTCATTGGTACCTTAATAAAAAGTGGGATAATGTTATATGACCAATTAGCTTCTTCATGGGAATTTTAGGATGCCTAGGTTTAGCAGTCTTGGTGATTAGGCGTGCGTGCACACGCACAGGCGTGTGTGTGTGTGTGTGTGTGTGTGTGTGTGTGCATATGTACACGTGTATGTGGAATGTTTGAAAAGTTTAAACACATGTTTGGTTAGGTTAATAAACACTGACTTAAGTGTAGTTACTGGAAAATAGTAATAAAACATTTTAAGTTTGAAATTTCATCTGCAGTGAGAATGTACTTCATCTTAAGCATTGAGTTCCAACAACATTAGTTATTGTCTAAAGTCTTTTTAGTATTTGTTCTGAAACATTACAGCTGATGTTCCCATCTATCATTTCAATTCAGCGTCTTTACAGGGATTATACTAAGGCAATTCAGTACATTGAGTTAAGGATTTTAAAGACCCAGGTTGAAGTCCACATGTTTGCATATGTCAGCTGGCACCCAAGGATCCCAAACTGTTTAGGGGTGCCTGCTTTAAAAATGCTCCTATCATCCATATACATAAAGGCAAAAGATGCAAACTCTTACTGTCATGGTTTTTGTTTTATATTTTATTTTATATAATTTTATATCATTTTTCATCTTTGCACAATGTATGCATTTTAATTATGGTTATGTTCCCCATACAATTGCACCCCCCCATTTTGACTCTAGTCCTTCCTCTCTCCACCCCTCCTCCCATAGTGTGTTTCTGGTTTATAGTTGCTTGTTGATTTTGATTTTTACTATGTATTGGCTAGTCTTTTTTTCTGGTCTCTTATTTAAGTTTTCTAAATTCCTGCTATGAGTGAGACCATCCAGTATTTTTCTTTTTTTCTTTCTGATTTATTTCGCTGAGCATGATCCCTTCTAGCTCCATCCATGTTGCTGCAAACGGCATGTGTTTATATTTTTTAGAATGCTGAGTAATATTCCATTGTGTATATGTACCACATCTTCTTGATCCAGTCATCTATTTTTGGGCATTTGGGTTGTTTCCATAGCTTAGCTATTGTAAATAGTGCCGCTATAGACATAGTTGTGCAGGTGCCCTTTGGAATTAATGTTTGTGTTTTTTATGTAAATACCTAGGAGTGGAATTGCTGGATTATAGGAAAGCTCCATCTTTATCAGGTCGAGGAATCTCCACACAGCTCTGCATAATGATTGGACCAGTGTGCACTCCCACCAGCAGTGCAGGAGAGTTCCTTTTTCTCCACACCCTCGCCAACATTTGTTGTTGCTAGTTTTTTTTAATATGTGCCATTCTCACTGGTGTGAGATGGTATCTCATTGTAGTTTTGATTTGCATTTCCCTGATTACAAGTGATGTTGAACATTTTTTTCATATGCCTGGTGGCCATTTGCATTTCCTCTTCGGTGAAGTTTCTTTTTAGCTTTTCTGCCCATTTTTGGACTGGATTATTTACTTTTTTTTTTTTTTTTGAGTCTCATAAGCTCTTTGTAGATTTTTGTGATCAGTCCTATATCATTAGTGTTGTGTGCAAAAATTTTCTCCCAGTCATGGGGTTTCTCTTTGTTATGGTTATTGTCTCTTTTGCTGTGCAGAAGCTCTTTAATTTGATGTAGTCGCAGCTGTTTATCTTTGCCTTCACTATCACTGCTTTGGGCGATGTGTCTGTAAAGATGTCTTTGAGGTGCATGTCATGTAGTGTTTCGCCTGTATTTTCTTCTATGTATTTTATGGTTTCAGGTCTTATGTCTAGTTCTTTAATCTATTTTGAGTGGGTTTTTGTGCATGGTGTGAGGTAGTAGTCAAGCTTCATTGTTTTGCATGAAGTGACCCAGATTTCCCAGCACCATTTATTGAACAAATTTTCTTTGTTCCAGTGCATATTCTTTGCTCATTTGTCAAAGATTAGTTGACCATAAATCTGTGGGTTTATTTCTGGATTTTCTATTCACTTCCATTGGTCCATGTGTCTGTTCTTGTTCCAATACCATGCAGTTATGATGATTATGGCTTTGTAGTATAGTTTGAAGTCTGGGAGTGTGATGCCTCCATTCCCTTCTTTTTTTTTTTTTTTTTTTTTTTCAGGAGAGCTTTGGTTATTCGGGGTTTTTGGTGCTTCCATATGAATTTCATCAATAATTGTTTTATTTCTTTGAAGAACGTCATTGAAATTTTTATTGGAATAGCATTGAATCTGTAGATTGCTTTTGGTAGGATGACCATTTTAATAATGTTAATTCTTTCAATCCATGAGCACAGGATGTCTTTCCGTTTCTTTGTGTCT